CGGTCAAGACAGGGTTTCTCTGCATAGCCCTGGCTGTCCTGGAATTTGCCCTGTAGACCAGGCTGGCCTCTAGCTCAGAGATCCACCTGCCTCTACCTCCTGAGTGCTGGGACTAAAGGCGTATGCCACCACAGCCCAGTAAAATTAAAGTGAAGAAGGAGGAGGAGGAGGAGGAGGAGGAGGAGGAGGAGGAGGAGGAGGAGGAGGAGGAGAAGGAGGAGAGGAGAAGAAGAAGAAGAAGAAGAAGAAGAAGAAGAAGAAGAAGAAGAAGAAGAAGAAGAAGAAGAAGAAGAAAAAGAAAGAAAGAAAGAAAGAAAAGACACACAAAGTTTTCTTAATTTGAAAACAAAGAAAAAGAAACTTTCTGAAATTTCAGATGCCAAAAACCCCACCTCTTCATTTGCTAATATCAGTGTCTCTATGTACAAGCCAATTTTACCACTATACACCAATAACACTGTAATTCAAATCTGCAAAATGCATTATTCTAGTTTGTTGTTTGCTTTTGAGACAGAATTTTACTATATATCCTTGGCTAGCCTAGAATTCTCTGCATAGACCAGGGTGACTTTTAAACTTAAAAAGATTCATAATTCAGGAAATCCATGGATTACTGATAAAGGACTATTTATTAGAGGAGTATATAGGGGGAGCAACTCACTAATACAGGGTAAGGCAAATTCAGTCGCAGAGTCTTGGAAGGATAAGAACCCGCCCATGCTGCTTCACGCTGCCTGACTCGGTCTTCACCATCCAAGGCACAAGAGAGAAGGGAACCTTGTATGTGCTCCCCAGGTCTTAAGCTAGCCAAAAGGTCACGCCCTAGGGGCTGGTACCCCAAGGCCATAGGTGGAACAAATACCCACAACAGGTCCACCTGTCTGAGTGCTGAGATTAAAGATGTATGGCCCAATTCACAATTCTTAAGTCTTTACATACTTTATACAAAATGATGCAAAAGATGAGATATATAGCAGAGAAATTACATAATTAAAAAAAAACTGATGATTTAAAATAATGAGGATAAATGAAAAGGAAAAAAGAAAGCATGAAAACCCAACACATAAGAAGGAGGAATAGATTATGGGCAACTACAGGAAAGTAGTCTTACGTCAAGATGAGTATTTGCCTTTCGTAGAGAATATGCTTGAGTTTATCTTCTTGGGTACTGTTATTCTGAAATTCTATGACTCACATAAAACAACATAATCAGTCCCTAACTATCAAAAAGTTCTCTCTTGAATTGGATCCATGGCTGAGAGGTTAAGAGTGCTTTCTGTTCTTCCAGAGGACCTGAGTTTAGCTCCCAGCACCCATATAAGGAGGCTCACAACTGCCTGCAACTCCAGCTAAAGGGGATCTAACAATCTCTTCTGGCCTCTGTGGGTATCCTCACACACACACAGCAGACACTCACATAGACATATAACTTAATTAAAAAAACTTTTTTGGGGGGAGGGGGGTTGAGACAGGGTTTCTCTATATAGCTCTGGCTGTTCTGGAACTCGCACTATAGACCAAGCTGGCCTCGAACTTGAGATCCACCTGCTTCTGCCTCCTGAGTGCTGGGCCTAAAGGAGTATATCACAACCACCCAGCTAAAAAATAAATCTTAAAAAATAATAATAAAATTCAAAGTTCCACCTTCAGCACCATGCCTGGGTTGTTTTGGGTACTTAGCACTTACTTTCCTAATGCATTCAGACATGGGCCACAAATTCAACACACAAAATTATTGAACAAACAATACCATGACTAGGCACTTAATTATCTTCAAACCACTCAGTAATATCACCAGCTTCATCATGCAAATATGCCTTCAATTCATCAAAAGCTCCTAGAATTGCATTAGCTAGAAGTAAATTCAATAAACGACAAATGATACTTTTTGTGTGTGCATGTGTGAGTACAGGTACACGTGTTCATATGTGTGCATTCATGAGTGTAGAGACCAAAAGTCAACACTGGGAACACTGGATATCTTCCTCAAATGTTCACTTTATTGTTTGTTTGTTTGTTTGTTTGTTTTTTTGGTTCTTTAAGACAGGGTTTCTCCATGTAGCCCTGGCTGTCCTGGAACACAGAGATCCACCTGCCTCTGCCTCCCAAGTGCTGGGATTAAAGGTGTGCACCACCTGACTAAAATAACACACTTCCAATTGAAGTTTTCATTACTGCTGTGTTGCACAGCGAATACATTCATCTGCATATTCTGTTGTCTATGGTTTTACCACTGAAAGCACTTGATCACAGCTGAATTAAGTCTCAAATGCACTGGCTGAATGGAAAACAAAAGAACCCAACACAACACTTTACTGATCATGCTTTAAAATTCACTTGCTGAAGGCTTTTTTTCACGTAAGCCCTCACTCATCTATTGTTACTGATCTAAAACCTCTCCAAATCTTCCAAGTCTTTTCAAAGCTTCACTTTTCCCAGTTATTAATACACAACAGAGCAGTAAGTTTTTAAATGCTCAAGCCTAACAGAGGCATGAATTTTGTATCTTTTTTAATGGAGATAGTTTCAAAATACAGTTTGGCCCATGCATTAGCCAAACTCAGGTAGGTATTCTGCTGTTAAGACTTGATAGTGAGTATGCTTGTCTTCTTCAGGAGTCAAATTGAGCTCTCTATCTTCATGTGTTTTTGTTCAGGTCACTGAGCTTCTCAAGCTCTTTCTGAAGGGCACTCTTTGCAAGGAGCATGGTGTTGTGTAGAAGTGGCCACAGCACACAACAGTTATTCAGGAGGGAAGACCTTGCATTTTAAACCAACATTTCACTGCAATCTCGGCAACACGGCACTGTCATTGAAGAGTATTTCAGTTGTCAAATTCTGTTAAGTGTATGTGTCCCTTTATGGTTATTGTTTGGTTGTTGCAATTAAGTAGTATTCACAGCACCAATAATTAGTTTTACATTTTTTTTTTAAACTTGCTGGGCAACACCTTTAATCCCAGCACTCGGGAGGCAGAGGCAGGCTGATCTCTGTGAGTTCAAGATCAACCTGGTCTACATAGAATTCCAAGGGGTTGAGGATTTAGCTCAGTGGTAGAGCACTTGCCTAGCAAGTGCAAAGCCCTGGGTTCGGTCCTCAGCTCCGGAAAAAGAAAAGAAAAAAGAGAATTCCAAGTCAGCCAAGGCTACATAGAGATCCTGTCTCAATTAAAGAAAAAATTCAGGCCAAGAAGCAGTGGTGCACACCTTTAACCCCAGCACTCGGGAGACAGAGGCAGGCGGATCTCTGTGAGTTCAAGGCCAGCCTGGTCTACAGAGCGAGATCCAGGACAGGAACCAAAACTACACAGAGAAACCCTGTCTTAAAAAAAAAAAAAGTGTTTCTACACTTATTTTGTGTTTGTGTAAGCGCGTGAGTAGCCCTACGGAGGACAGAGGGTAACTAGCATTACTGAATCAGTTCTCCCTTTCCACACATGGATTTCAGGAATCAAACTCAAGTGGGCAAGCTTGGGCAAGCATCCTAACACCTAATGCGCTGTCTTGCTGACCTTAGCTTTAAATTGGCTGTCTTTAACAATAAGTAGAATTGTCCAATTAAATCATCAAAGCTTTCATGACAGCAAGATGGTGCAGTAGGTAAAGGCACTTGGCCACCAAGCCTAATACACATATATACAAATGAACAGATGTAAAAATTAGCCGGGCGGTGGTGGCGCACGCCTTTAATCCCAGCACTTGGGAGGCAGAGGCAGGTGGATCTCTGTGAGATAGAGGCCAGCCTGGGCTACCAAGTGAGTTCCAGGAAAGGCGCAAAGCTACACAGAGAAACCCTGTCTCGAAAAACCAAAAAAAAAAAAAAATTAAAATATTGCAAAACCTTTTTGTGAGGGAACAAGTTTGCATATTCATTTCATTATATTCTAAGGAACACAGTAAGAAGGAACGATGCTATTTCCCCAATATCAAATGTATATTAGTAAAAATATTTACAGACAAAAAACAGTTATGAGATACAGAGACACAGATACAGATATGAGTGGGGTTTATTGGAGGAATTGGCTCACATAATTATTGTGACTAAGAAGTCTCATAGGTTGTCTGCAAGGGGATGCCAGTAGCATGACTTAGCTCAAGCCCAAAGGCCCAAGAACAAATAAATGAGATAACTCTCAGTCTGTGGCTCAAAGTCTAAGGATCTAGGACCACTAGTAAGGGTCCTAAGGCCAAGAGTTTCACAGTGCACAACAGCAAAAGATAACTGTCCTAACTCTTACAACAGTTGGTTAACTTAGCTTCTGTGTTTGTCTTTGACAGGCCTCAACCTGCTGGATGGTATATACCCATACTGAGGCAGCTCTTCCCTTACTCCATCCAGACTCAGACATTAATCTCCTCTGGAAACCTCACATACACATCCTAATAACGTTCAACATAACACGATACAACTACTAGGACCACCAATGCTCTAATCCCCTCCTCATTATTCAGCTTTATACTCCTTATATACCCTTTGCTTTCTGCTATAGGAATATAGGGATTAAGGTTTTCAGAATTCTGGCTTCCAGAATTTCACATTTTAAGGTTTCACTCTTTCAGGATTATGACTGTTGAGATTTTACATTTCTAGGAATGCACCATTCACTCACTAGACATCTGGGAGTCCAGTTTTCAGGATTATGCCTGACACCATGTATTCACTGCTTTCCCCAAATCCAAGCAGTCTCCCTTTCCTCCCATATGAACACTCAAAGTTTTCCAACTGTTCTGCTGTTACACATTTAGATGTCAATCTCTTAACTGCAACATCTTTTAAAAACTTTCATTTTAAAAATTGGGGGGCTGGAGAGATGGCTCAGAGGTTAAGAGCACTGACTGCTCTTCCAGAGGTCCTGAGTTCAATTCCCAGCAACCACATGGTGGCTCACAACCATCTGTAATGAGATCTGGCACCCTCTTCTGTATACATAATAAATAAATCTTTAAAAGTAAATAAATAAATAAAAATTGGCTCAAACACATGAATACTAAAAGTACCAACAAGTTCAACCAGGAAAACACCATTTCCAGTTCCAATATCAAGCACTGAGGCATCCAATGGGATCTTTTGTTTCTGCATCCACCTTATTAGTCTGTTCATACTCTCTTCTCCAAACCTGTTAGGAACAGAATACAAAGAGCAGATATATAGCAAAAGTTACAACTACATTCCATTTAAGCTGTTTATACCATGTGCTCACTTAAGTCTTTTTTGAAAAGTGAGAATATGTATAACTGTTTAAGCTTCATCTTTATTGTTAGTTAGATTACACCTCTAAAAATGGAATACCTAAGGTATTAATTATACATACTTACATATGTAAATAACTAAGTATATAGATATATAAACACACATGTTCACATACACACATACTCTATCTACATCAGCATTAATCCTTTAAAATAATTGTCCTAATAACTGCTTTCTTGGACATCAGCAAATATCAGTACTTCAGAATTTCATTAATTAAAAAATGACAACTATGGAATGAAAGTAATTTCCTAGTACTATGATCAATTTAAATCTGGGTCACTAAAAAAGAAAAGAGATATTTTTAAGCTGTCATTGAAGCAAGAGTCAGGTAGAGGCAGGAGGATCTCTGAGTTTGAGGCCAGCCTGGTCTAATGAGCAAGTTCCAGGGAAATGCTGACTCAAGAAAAAAAAAAGAAAGAAAAGAGAAATTTAAAGCCACTGGAGCCAGATTCATCCCAGGCTTCTAGACTGTCTCTGTTGTAAGTGCACTTGCTCATGCTCTCTCACACCCACAAAAACAATTCCTTAGCTTAACTCACCAGATTTCTCCTGTATCTCCATATTCTTGGAATGTCCTCAGTTCTCTCTCATAAACAGCATCCCAACTACATAAACAACAAAATATGAAGCAAGATTCCCAAATTAAACTGTATTTTGTGAATTAAACAGATTATTTCCAATGCATTACATGGCTACTTACAACAGCCTTAAAACATTACTATTATCAATAAGTGCATACAGTTCAATTTTTTTTTAACATCCTTAGGTTAAAAGAATGAAAACTGGGGGCTGGAGAGATGGGTTTGATTCCTAGCACCCACATGGCAGCTAACAACTGACTATAACTCCAAGGTCTGACACCATCACATAGATATTCAGGCAAACACCAATAAACATAAAATAAAAATAAGTAACTGGGCCGGGCGGTGGTGGCGCACGCCTTTAATCCCAGCACTCGGGAGGCAGAGCCAGGCGGATCTCTGTGAGTTCGAGGCCAGCCTGGGCTACCAAGTGAGTTTCAGGAGAGGCGCAAAGCTACACAGAGAAACCCTGTCTCGAAAAACCAAAAAAAAAAAAAAATAAATAACTGTAATTCCAAGATCAGGGGTGCAGACACCATCTCCTGGCCTCCCTGGCCACCATAAGAAGAGGAGATTTGCACAATAAAAATTATTAAAAGAAAAAAAAAGAATGAAAATTGTGGACAAGCAGAATAAATTAAACAAGTACTTAAAGTTATCTGATGAATAATCCCATATACATTTTAGCTTAAATAAAAACAGGCAACTGCCCAAAAATCTCTAAATTCCAGACCCAACTCCATAACTGGACTGCACAAGCTGAGTTTGTTACTCCAAATTTGGTCATCAATGTGCAGATACAGGATTTTTTTGTTTGTTTGTTTTGTTTTTGTTTTTCGAGACAGGGTTTCTCTGTGTAGCTTTTCGCCTTTCCTGGAACTCGCTTTGTAGACCAGGCTGGCCTCGAACTCACAAAGATCCACCTGCCTCTGCCTCCCGAGTGCTGGGATTAAAGGCATTCGCCACCACCGCCCGGCTGGATACAGGATTTTCTAACCAGTAGGTCAGTGGTTTGCTCACAATGAACACAGCAATGATAAAATTAGGTGCTAAAACAGTCTCTGCCTCTCCCTGTATTCTAGCTTTCCCATTAAATCTCTTAATCCTTACAACGGCAAACCCCACCCATCATCTGTTTTCTCTTCCTATCTCATCTCTACAATCTCTGCTCCCGCCCCCAAATTTCCTCTCATCCTAATCCCTGTCCGCACACTCATGTTTTTCGAGACAGGGTTTCTCTGTGTAGTTTTGCTGCCTGTCCAGGATCTCGCTCTGTAGACCAGGCTGACCTCGAACTCACAGAGATCCGCCTGGCTCTGTCTCCCAAGTGCTGGGATTAAAAGCGTGCGCCACCGCCGCCCGGCTCATTCTCTATATTCTAACCCTTTGATTTCTTAGCCTCAACTTCAGGTCAGAGAACACTTTCTCTCTTTCCTCCAGGACCCCTACCGTCTCCCTAGCTCAGTTCAGAGCATCCTCCACTCCGACCTCCTCCAGTTCCCAGATCTCACAGCTCTCCCGGGACCTCCTGGGCCCTTGTCCGGTTCCGGTTCGTTGCCCAACTCTCTCCCCCTTTTCCCCAAGCCAGATCCCAGACCCCCTACACCGGCTCTCCAAGGACCTCGGGTGGTCTTGAATCCCTTTAAAGAGGGTTAACCGCTCCCCGGGGCGTGCTCGGGATCTCGCCCCTTAACCCCCACAGGTGGCTTCCACCCTCCTTCCTCAGGCCGCGGGTGGGGGATGAGGGGGCGCCATCTCCTTCCGGGCCTCCCCGCCACACTCACTGCTCTCGCGTCCCCAGCGCCGATGGGACGAAGTCGCACGCCACGGGACTGCCCTCTCGAGACCGCGCAGGGACCACAGCGCCGCCTTGGCCGCCAGCATCCGCGTTCATGTCGCTCTGCGCCTTGTGGGCTGTCGCGGCCGCCATAGAGACGCGGCTCGAGCAGAGGGGACGCGCAGGCCTGGCCTCTCTAGGCAATGGAAGACCGTCTCTCTCACTCTCTAATGCTCCAGTCCAGGCTTGGGAGGCCGACCGGCAGTAGAGAGCCTAGGCTACCTAGAGGCGGTCTCCCTCCAACCAACATCGCTTGTTTCCTTTATTCTCTTGCTCTCAAAGTGACCATATCTGGGAACTGCTGTTTGTAAGTCATCGTTCAAAGTACTGCACTTTGGGAAACACGCTGTAAGAAGCCACAAAAACACCTGAAATACACACCACTCAGTCCAATTGCATGTCATCTCTCTCTAGTGAGGCAGATCTGGAAAGAAAGGCAGGTCAGCCCATCGTATTACTCGCTTCCCGACCGAAAGACTAATTTCATGTGTGGCTAGAATTCTGGAAAGTGACTTGATGTAACCGGATGAGAGCTTACGGCCAAGAAATGAATGCCTTAGGGCCACCCACAGTACACCAGCCATGGAGTTACGATAGAATGAGTAGCGGATGATAGGGTACCTCAGTGGGTCTTCCTCTATCCCCACCCAGCTAGGCATCTGAGCCTGTCCAAGTCTCAACCTCTGCACGCTTTAGTTTGTTTATTGTAGTTTACTCAAAATAAAAGATGGCTTGTTCCTCAAGACTTCATGAACCTGAAATGTCTTCTGCCTATTGCTCTGACTGCAGCCAGTAGTTCTGCAATACAATGGAAAAGATCTTATGTGTCAGGGGCCTAGGATATTTTCTGTACTAGCCATGAAATAGTCAAAATACTCATGGTCCAATGTCCTAGGCAAGGATCTCAGAGGCCCCTAACAAGCTGCTTCCCGACGAAAACTTGTTTCCAAGGCTACGTTTCTGTGGACTCCCCAGACAGAAGCCCAATAACAAGTCCCTTGAGGCAAATGGCAACAAGAGTTGCCCTCCCAGTTTGCAGTTCATCTTCTCCTACACATGGTGTTCCAAGATCTTCTGGCAATAAAGAATAAAGTAAAGGGCAGATGGAAGTCCATGTACATAGTGATTAAAGAACTCAAGAAAGAGCGTAAGTAACCTTATTACAGAGCAATAAAACCACCGGATACCACAGCCAATTAGTGCTGCCCTGGGCGAGTAGCTGTTTTGATCTTTTCTAGGCTCTAGATGCTACAGAAAGCAAGCCTGAATGTGATGGAGTGGGTCTTTAAAAGTTTTCAGTTCTAATTAAGAAGCATCCATGAAAGATAAGTCTGCCTTCAGCCTAGTATCTTGCCAACACTTAAGATGTTTTTGTTGTGTGTGATGAAAGCTATAAACAGTTGTTGGTACGGAGCCCTGGGAAAAACCATGGTTTATACCAAATCCCTTCCCTGACTCCAGGAAGGATTATTCTGGCTGCTTAGTCCCAGGGGCTGTGGAGGCACCACCTCCCATCACCCAGAGAAAGAGGATTCTTGGCTGGGGGAGAAGTTTCACTGGGTAAGCTGCCTAGGGAGAAGCAGAACTGTATAAGGAACTCAGCCCCTCCCACTGAGTACCAGTTCCATGAGACCAAAGGCAGACCTGCATAACCTGAGGTTGCCAGCCTTGTTTTGTCTTTGTTTATTTGTTTGTTTTTTATCCCTGCAGACTGGCACAGCATCCACCCACAGCTCCTCTGGAACTATGCTTCCCAGAGTCCTCAAGCACTTCCCATTTGACAAATCCAAGGTCAAGGGCAGAGCTTTTCCTTCTTTGATCATGCAACAGTCAATACCAGAGAACACACTTCTAGAAAAACCCTCCTTACCCCACCCCACCCCACCCCACCCTGTTTCCCATTTCTGCTTTGATATGAGGTTTTTTGTTTGTTTGGTTGGTTGGTTGGTTGGTTTGGTTTGGTTTGATTTGGCTGCCTGGCTGGCTGGCTGATTGGTTGTTTTTTCAAAACAGAGTTTCTTTGTATAGCCTTGGCTGTCCTGGAACTCTGTAGACCAGGCTGGCCTTGAATTCACAGAGATCTGCCTGCCTCTGCCCCCCAGTGCTGGAATTAAAGGTGTATGCCACCGCCGCCTGGCTGATGTGAACTTTTGAAAGGGGACAGTTGGCACTCAGTTCTTGAATTGGATGCCCATGTTTTGAGGTTGGGAATCACCATGGGCAAGTTCTTTTAACTTCCCCTTGTCAGTTTGTACAGCATACACTACCACAAACATAATAGTAGTACCTAACACACAAGGCACCTAGGGGATGTCAATGAAATCACTCCAGTCCAATCACCTGTCTGACACCTGAGAAGTGGGCAGTAAATGTAAGTTAATATACTGCTTCAGAGAGATGTCAGGAAGTGGAAGTGAATACACTGTATGTTTAAAGAGCCCAGGAAGGGCCTGACAAATAGTCAGGGTTCAGAACCTGTCGGCTGTTTATTACAAGTTGAACATCTTTTCTCTAGTTTGGTTTCCTTTTGCTGTGATAAAATGCTGACCAGCATCTCTTTGAGGAACGGGTCTATTTGGCATACAGGTGATACAGCCCATCATTGAGGGAAACCAAGGCAGGAACTCAAGGCGGGAGCTTGGAGGCAAGAACTGAAGCAGAGTCCATGGAGGAACACTTACTGCTCTCCATGCCTTCCTCACCTACCTTTCTTAAATAGCCCAGACCCACATGCCCAAGGATGTCACTGCTCCCAGTCAGTTGAACCCTTCTACTTCGGTTAGCAATAAAGGAAATGCCCCCACAAACATGTTCAGAGGCCAGTCTGATGGAGGCAGTTCCTCAGTTGTGATTCCCTTTTCCCAGGTATGTCTAGGTTTGTGTCAAGTTGACGAAAACCAGCCAGCATAATCACTAATCCAAACATCTAAAATCCAAACAACCCCAAAATCCGAAATAATTCTGATCTTGAGTGTATCAGATAAAGGACACCCTAGCCCAGTGGTTCTCAACCCTCCTAATGCTGCGACCCTTTAATACAGTTCTTCATGTTGTGGTGACTCCCAACCATAAAATGATTTTGTTGCTTCTTCATAACTGGGATTTTACTACTATTATAAACCATAATGTAAATATCTGATATGCCAAAACCCACAGGTTGAGAACCACTGCCCTAGCCTGTAATGACTTCCAATTTAACCTCTTGCCTCAGCTCCAACTTATTCTTCTAGCTGCCTGGATTTCTCTTGATACCTTGAATTCAATGAAACTGAATTTATGGGTCCCATCACCCACACCCATGCCTCCAGACCCTCTCTTGTAAAAAGTTTATCACATGCTTATTGTGTATGCAAGCCTCTCCTCCCCTCTCCCCCTGCACACACATACACATGTGTATATTGTGTGTGGAAAGGTCAAAGAATAACCCTCAAGAGTCAGTTCTAGGGCTCGAGAGATGCCTCCGTGGTTAAGAGCACTGGCTCCTCTCCCAGAGGTCCTGAGTTCAATTCCCAGCAACCATTGGTGGCTCACAACTATCTGTAATGAAATCTGGCGCCCTCTTCTGGCCTGTAGGCATACATGCCTTAAAAAAAAAAAAAGTCAGTTCTTTCCTTCCACCATGGGGGTCCCGGATTGAACTCTGTGCTGAGCTAGTGGTAGTGGTGCCTGCCTCTGCCTCCCAAGTATTAAGATTCAGGCAGGCATCACCAGCCCAGCATATTTCCATTCCCCTGCAGTAACCTGCTGATAGAATAAAAACCATCTTCCTTTGGACTCCACACTTTTTCACACAAAATTTACTCAACAGTTACAAATTGGGCAGCATTAACATGCCTAGCATTATTCCATATGGCAAAAATGCAAGAGCAAACAATTAAAACAGGAATCCTTATTTTTGATGAATTTCAGAATAGGATAGCAGGGGAAAAAAGACAATAATCTGGAAAATGGAATTAAAAAAATAGAGCTAAAGCTAGATAGTGATAGGAATTTGTCTTGGTTAGCTTTGTCAACTTGACACCGCCTAGGATTATCTGGGAAGAGAACCTCAACTGAGAAATTGCCTAGATCAGAGTGGCTTGTTGGGCCCTACTGCAGGGGATTGTCTCGAGAGTGTCAGAAACAATAATCCTCACTTCATAATAAGAGTACTGGAAACTTAGTAAAGAAAGCGAAGCACTTTATTTTGCAAGCTTGAAAACTCCTGTGTGAGCCTAGGATGGCAAGCCTACTAACTGAGTGTAGAGCACAGCTATAAATCCTAACAAATGACCTGTCCTTCCCTTTTTGAATAATTAGGAGGGGACAGTCCTAACAACAAAAACCATGGGTGGATCTATCTCCATATTTTACATCCTGTTTATTTCATTTTATTTTTGGATTTTCAAGACAGGGTTTCTCTGTATAGCCTTGGCTGTCCTGGAACTCTATCTGTAGACCAGGCTGGCCTCGAACTCATGGAGTCTCAGCTTATCTCTGCCTTCTGAGTGCTGGAATCAAAATCATGTGCCACCACCGAATCCTGCTTATTTTAAAGTGTAGCAAACACAGTTGGGCAGTGGTGGCAGACACCTTTAATCTCAGCACTCGGGAGGCAGAGCCAGGCGGATCTCTGTGAGTTCGAGGCCAGCCTGGTCTACAGAGTGAGATCCAGGACAGGCACCAAAACTACATGGAGAAACCCTGTCTCGAAAAACCAAAAAAAAAAAAAAAAAAAGTGTATCAAACACATGACCTTGTAGGCAAGCTTGCTGTTTGTAATTTTCTACTCTACACTTCCATTCTGGGAGGGTAGCATATTAAAGTTTGGGTGTGGGAGGACTAGAGAGACTGTTTTCTGTTCATGTGTAGCTGGATCTAAGCTGGCTCGAGGAACCTTTGAAAAGTGAACTATCACACCTAATTTCTAACAACTGTTAAGTGATGTAGGAGGGCCCAGGCCTTTGTGGGTGGCACGTACGTGTGCGGTCTTAAACTGTAGGAGAGAACTAGCTGAGCTGGAAAGGATTGCTGTTGGAAAATTAGGTTGTCTTTCTTAGAGAATCATCCCAGGAGATGTAAGTTGGGAGCTGGCAATGGGAAACTTCCCCAGCAGCCAGTCCTGCAAGCAGGGATCTGGGTGGCCTTTCAGTACACCTAGAGCAGGCATGAAACAGTGAATCACGCAGTTGTCCAGGAGACCAGCGTTCTAGGCAGAGGAAACAACAAATGTAAGGCACTATGACCCGATGAACTTTCAGTGCTTCCAGAAAGCAAAAGGCTACTACTGTAGCTGAAGCTGAGCAAACCAAAGTAGCAGAAGTGGAAATACAATCAGAAATTGGGGGAGGGGGTGTGTGTGTCTGTCAGTGTAGGGTTTGGAGGCTGGCCAAGTCTGACTGACACCTTATATTTAAACATTAACATGGCCATTTCATGGCTGTGTTGAGAATGTATTTGGCAGGTTAATAGCATCACGTCATTATCTTGACATTGTGGAATAGTTAATTCTGTTATGAGGCCTTTCCTGAGTTTAGCTCCTTCCCCTGAGTTGGGCATTGGAAAAATATCTGCTAACAATGTCAAGTGTCTCTTAA